TATGGATGAAGTGAACAATTGATTTGGTACCCTTTTCATCCCTTAATTATTATCTGTAATTTCCATGTTTATCTACTTTTTGATCATTACCCATTGAGTTTAAACTCTAGATTTATTGAGCAACTGAGCTTTATTTTGTATGTTTTAGAATGTGGTATTTTTTGGGAATGTTATGAGGTATTTTGGGGTAGTAACAACTTGCCAAATTTTATCTATGTTGCCAGAAAAGAAAATGGCCGGGGGTTTGCTTCAATCCTGGCTCCGCCACTGCTTGCCTTCTTGGTTAAAGATCAGAGCATAGCAGTTCAACCGGACAAGACACAAGACTAGGTGAGTTAGACGGTTTGTCGACCTGCCAAACATTGACGATAATCTCCAATTGGTATTAACAACTTGCCAAATTTTATCTATGTTGCCGGAAAAGAAAATGGCTGGGGGTTTGCTTCAATCCTGGCTCCGCCACTGCTTGCCTCCTTGGTTAAAGATCAGAGCATAGAAGTTCAACCAGACAAGACACAAGACTAGGTGAGTTAGACGGTTCGTCTACTTGCCAAACATTGACGATAATCTCCAATTGCTATCAACTTCATTTTTTCTAGTGAGATAGGGCCCTATTTTTGAGTTTCGCACATGGCCTCGGATTTTGCCGGCCCGGCCCTGGTGTTAGGAGCATTGGATGGGCAGTCTATGTGATTGTGGTACTTCGTGCTTTGTGATTGGCCCTCTTTTGGGTTGTTTGTATCGGTTTTCGTCTGATTTTCGTAAATTAACTGGGTAATTTTTTTCTTCTTAATTAATCAATGAGACAATTTTTTTGCCTCCGTTTCAAAAAAAAAAAACTCTCTGACCTGCGGCTGATGGACTGATCACTCGCTCTCGCTGTCCACTACTAGTCGACGAGACATAGTTGACACTACCTACATGAACGTATCCATTCTGAAGAAACCACCGTGTCCAAACAGGTAGTAACATCCCTGAGGCGATGTAGCATGATGTGACCTTTGAATACTTTGTTTCAGCAACCAGAAAAGAGAATGGGAACTGACCCATGTATTTGATTCTGATCCCGCACAAGTCGTGTTACCGACCATGGAGGGAAGGTAGCACCGGAGCAGAGACATATCAGCGCCGGATGTCAGGCGATCCTGCCGAATCGATCTGGAACCGGACGGTGACCACAAAGGCCGCCGCTTCCGGATCGACATAAGGCCAATTTCACCACGCGACCTTCAAACGGACTTCCGTTTTATCCGAATTTTGTCTGTTTGGGTAGAGATTTAAGATCATGTTCGGACGTGTCATGGGATACGGTGACCGTGCGTCCTGCGCGCGGCCGCATCCGTTTGCCCCATCATGCTCGCGTCTATTTAAAAAAAAAGAGTAACGTTTCAAATGCCAAGTCCTAATTTACGGCATCATTTCATCACGCCGGCAACAAAACCAGCGGCCTACACGTCCATCGCCAGCGACCGGCAACACAGTCAGCCTCCAAAATGAATAGATGTCCTCGCCGGCAACACAGCCAGCGGCCGGCAACACAGCCGGCCTATAAAATGAATGTTTTCTCGCCGGCACATTGCCAGCGGCCCAGCGGGCGGGCGGTACTCATGCCAGCCTCCAAAAAGAACGGCCACGCCGATCGGACGACCTAGTTCAGGCCTTCGGCGTCGAGCATCTCCTTCTGCCTGGCCTCGAACCAGGCACTCGTCTTGTCGCTCATCTTCGACAAGTCCACGCTCATGATCGCAAGGGTCACCTCCTTCGCTCTGGTGGCGGCATTGGTGGCCTCGATGTCGAGCTGCCTCTGCCTGGCCTTAACGTTGTCGGCCTCGATGTCGAGCTGCCTTTGCCGGGCGGCCTCTTCCATGTCGAGCTGCCTTTGCCGGGCCGCCTCCTCCATGTCGATCTTCCTCTTCTTGGCCGCCTCCTCCATCTCAAGCTTCTTTCTTTGAAGGTTTAGGTATTGCTTCATTTGCTCGTCCTTATTTTGCCGCTTCTTCTCGTCCCTCACATCCTTTTGAGACATCATGCCATGCAAAGTGTCATGCAATGCCATGGATGAGGCATCACGTATGTCATCAACCTTGGAGTTGGTCTTGCCCCTTGGCTTTTTCAACGCCTTGCCATCTTCACCTCCGGCGAACTTGGCCGTCTTCAGTCCTCTCTTCCTTTGTAGTTCACGGTATTGATCCTTGAACTTAGGGCAATTGTTGATGAGCGTCCAACAATGTGTAAGAGTGAATGGCTTGTCATTATGTCGGTCTTGAATGCCTCCAAAGATTGAAATGCCTACAACACATGATCAACAAGAAGTGAACATGCAAACATATACAAGGCCGAAGTCTCATTGCCGTAGCAAGGAAAGGGCAAGGAAGAGGAGAGCATAGCGTGTCCCCAACGCCGAGACCACTCACGGGTCGTGCTTGAACGCTCACAAATGCAGCTTGATACTTGTTGCACTCTTGTTGGATGAACAACCATCTCTTTTGAATCGAGCCGATGCCACAGTTGCTTGCAATTTGGTAGGGCTCGAACATCTTCCTTTCATTGAATGTTTATAGACTCTCGTCCAAAAAACAATGCCTTTTGTTGCGCCGGTCCTCGGATCTTGGCTAATCTCCATCCAAGCTTGGCAAATCAACTTGTCCTCATCTTGTGTGTATGAACCCGTGTGAATGCTCTTCCTCTTCTTTTGTGCTTCCGCTCTTTGGGTGAGCTCGTCGATGAACAATGGCTCGCCACTAATATCAATGTCTTCATCACCATCACCTTCGACATAGATGTCATCGTCTTCATGCCATGAGTCACCATGGTCGTAGTCAGCACGGTCGTCAGCCTCTTCATCGGGCACGTACTGGGCACGACCGTCCTGACTTTGGGTCTTCTCGGGGTCGTAGGCATGGCCATGCCCACCCTCGAAGATCACGTCCTTCATGTACTGATTGTAGAAGGAGTCGTCGACCGTTGGCGTTGGGGTTGGCATTCCGTCAAACAAGACGCGGGGGCCAGGCATGGTGCCCGTGAACGGTGCCCGTGCCTGCTTTCTTTGCATCTTGACGGACGGCCGGCCGCCGCTGCTGGACCCAGGCGTGACGTTGAGGTCGATGACGGCCGCGGGGCGCGGTGTCGGCGGCGCGAACAAGCCCACGTACGGCGACCCCGAGAAACGGGTCTGGCCATCGTGCCTTGGCGGAGGAAAGCCGGGCGACATGGGCGCGGTGCGCGAGGTCGGCGACTGGCAGTGCGTAGGCCGGGCGACCGACGAGACTGTGCTCGCCGGGCCGACGACCGCTCCAGGGAACCCGACCGGATGGCCCATGCCAAGCATGAGGATGGTGTGCGCTTTGTTGACGAGGTCCTCCTTCTCGTCGGCCGCGGCCTTGCGCGCGGCCTCCAGCTCATCGCGTTGGGCGGCGAATTTGGCCGCGGCGGCATTGACCTTGACGGCCGCTCTCCGTTCCCTCCTCTTCGCCAATTCTGCATCCAACTTGGCGATCTCCTCCGGCGTGCACTCCGACCGCGGCTTCCTTGGCGCCTTCTTCTTCACCTTTGCGGGCTGGTCGGCGGCCAGGCCGCCGGAATTCGGCGGGGCGTCGGCCGTGGACGGGGGAGAGAGGGGCGGCGGGAGGGACGTGGGAGGGTTTGGGTGAAATGGCACCAAATGGGTGTGGGGGTTTGGTTTCTCCCACCGACATGCGGGCCAGGGGAGGACAAGCGCGCGTGTCCCGCCCGTCCGCGCGCTGTCTGTTTCACCCCAAAACCAGCGGAAACCAAAGCGGACAAAAGTCCATTTGCGCCCGCGTGCTGGACCGTCTGATTTGTTTTTTTTACTCCAAACAAACGAAGGTGGATAGGATAAAATCGCGCGGTGGGGTTGGCCTAACATTGGTGTCCGGCAACCCAGGGTGCCAAAAAAAGGGCTTACGGGCACCTCACCTCTTCCGTGGGAGCGCCGGCCGGTACCAGCAATGATTCATCGATTCCCCACGCTTTGGTCGTGTACTTAACCGAAAGAAAGCAGTGAACGTCAGGCCGGGCCATCGTACTCTTATTCTCTTGTTTTGTTGAGGAAATGTAGTATTTGCGGGTTGCATTATTGGGCCTGGCAAGAATCCAAGATGGAAGAACAGTGAAGAAATCGTCCGATGGTGCGGCTCCAGGATGGTTTATGGCACGGGAATCTGCAGAGAGACTGAGAGAGGGGCATGTGCATATGCTTTTGCTAATGAGGACGAGCGTCACCCACCGCACTAGCTCTTAAACAATTCGTGTCCCTGTTCCGGCCAGCAACTGGCTCCATGCTTGATCGTTCTGCTTTATAGAGACCTCCTCTTGTTTCTGTGGGCAAGCCACGGTGGTAACTGGACAGCAGTCAACAATTAGACTAGCCAAAGTACAGGGTGTAAAAGACTGCATCAATTGCTGCTCCTTCCGGGCTCGATCCATTGAGACGATGAGATCTATCCATCAGTGGCCTTGCCTCCCCAATCTGGTTAATCTCTCTTTCAAGTAAAACCTCATAAAAGCTTCTTGCTTGCATCCCTCTCTCTCCAAAAGTATCCACAGTATTGGAAATAACGCATGTTAATCAACAAAGCACAAAGGCGCCGTGCTTAATCCGCACCAAATTGCCACTTTTGGTGTTTGCTTCTCTACGCAAGCATCACTGCTCCGCCAACAACTATCCCAAGTCGTAAGACAGACACGGATGGCAGTGACAATGCCAAACCGAAAAAATCGGTCGCGAGTTATCTCAAGGGAACCAAAGGCAGTGAAAGGACAAGGCAGCCTATGACCCTAAATGCACTAGTTAATTTCAGATCACACACCGGTCACCGTCATGTGGAGTGGGAAGGGAAACCACCTAGCCTACCTCACTGAGCTAGGACACAGCACATTCCGCAGTAGATGGCGGGCATATCATATCAGGAAATCAAGGCGGATCGGACGGCGTGCCCTCCACTAGAGCCTAGCTAGCTGAGCTCCGTTATATAAAGAGCATGGAGCTAGCGACCCGGTGGGTGCGAGAGCAAAGCACAGTCCCACCATTTTTTTGCAGCGGCGGCGAAGCGAGGATGCTGGTGGTGGAGCTGGGCATATGGGTCATCCCGCTGACCCTCGTCTTCGTCCCGTGCCGGCGCATCGTCCTCCTCCTGTCCAGGCTCCAGGAGCTTGGACGGACCATGATGCGCCCGAGGCTGGTGATCAGCTCGCGGGAAGAGGACATGTGGAGCCGCCTGTCCAGGCTTAACTCCATGGCCTTCATGTTGTGATGTGACGGCGGTGATGGTACTATGTGTGCCTGCTTGCCCCTCTCCTCGGTTGGTGTTCGATGCTAAGTTGTTTTTGCTTCTTCTTTTCTTGAGCCTTGTATGTATCTGTAATAAGCTCACGGTAGTTGAGATGTAGTAAGATGTATATATATTTGGCGTAGCTTGGACTTTGATGTTAGATGTATATACTGGTGTGGTAGAGGCAATGAAGTGAAATTAACGTCATGGTTCATCTAGCGGAATTTCTTGGACTAGTAGTATTTGTATTGTTTGACATGAGAGATACTTTAACAAATACATATTTTTCTTGAAATAGGCTTTCATCCCCGCTTTATAAATAAAGCAACCATCACATCCATACAACAAGAGTGCACGAAGAAAGTAACCGAGTATATTGGAGCATCAGCACAAACACGGCGAAAAAAAACATGAAAGAAAACGAAAAAAGGACCACCAAGTGGTCGGTGCCTCAAGCACACTGAGGCGTAGTAAGTCGGCATGGGGCAGCAGTCATCGCGTCCATCGTGTCGCCAAACCAATCATGATCCCTCTGTCCACATATTGAGTTTCAGTGCTGCAAGAATACAAGAAACTTGAAGATAGAGTCAGAGGCCAGCCTAAGAAAGACCCGCTCAATAACCATCTTGTTACGTGTCGTCCACAGGGTCCAAACTAACGCTGCACGTCTCCTCCTCCTAGTTTGGTTGGCCTAGTTTTAAAGAAACGGAGCTAGGTCTGAGGCCTCCCAATCGGGCCCTAGAACCTCACGGATAAAACACCAAAGTAATAGCGCTGCCAAGAAGAGGGTATGAGTCCATGTCTCCGGGATAGCACAAAGGGGGCACGATCCATCCCCAGGGTCCTGATGTTTGATCACCTCTGTCCCAGATGGGAGGCAATCTCCCAACAATTGCCACAGAAAGATTCGGCACAAGGCATGATATTGCCAAGACACGGCGTCCGGGAGCACCGTCCGCGGGGAGGGGGGAGGTTTGCCCGCAATTTGTCCCACGCCATGGTCTCCATGGGCCCAAATGTCCTTCGGAACAAGATTTTTGAATGGCACTATGGGCAACCATGGAAATCAACATCATCAGGTCCGAGCAGATAGCAGATAAATTTGCAAACTCCGTACACTATGGAGACCCGTCCACCTAGGGATCAAATCAGAAAAGGGTTCCCTCTCATTGCCAGTGGAGATAGAGAACCCAAGGTGGATCTCACTCTTGATCTGCTGGATGGACCTCTAGAATTGAGATCCCTCCGTGCGCTCACAAGCTAGCAGTAGCCTTCCGTCCTTGTGAAGGACCTACCAGATCCATCGTAGTATAAGGGCCACATTAATGCGATGTGATGCTAGAATGCCTGGCCCTCCTATGGCCTTTGGCATCCAATTGTCAACCCATTTGACCATATGGTATTTTTGTCGACCATTCATTGCCTGCCAGAAGAAGTGGGAAAGGTCTTTATCAAAACAACCATGGACCGCTTCCGATAGGATATATATAACCCCATCATATACACGGGGAGACTAGACATGTAGGAATCAATAAGAACAGTCTTACTCACTTTAGACATGAAACGACCACACCATGGTTCCTACTAAGAAGTGAACCAATCCATAAGCAAGTAAACCGAAGAGTATCCTTGAATCAGCCAACGGCATACCTAATTACAAAATGGGGAAGGAGGATGGCCTGCAAGTCAAGTTGTTCGTGATCCACTGCTGATCGTCATCATAGTACCCTAAAACTACCACTATGCTCTTGTTGAAGTAGATCTTAATACCTAACATGTCATCGAAGCATAAAATGAGGAACTAAAGGTATCATCATAATCATGGTATCGTCAGCATACTACAAGTGTGTGACACCACCTCAAGGGATAAGATGCACAACCAGCCCAGAGATGTGGCCGGCCATCCTAGCCTTATCCAGGATGGCCTCAGGGGTGTCGACGGTGAGGTTAAAGAGGAGGGGAAATAGGACGCCCCCTTCCTCAACCCATTAATATTAATCGGGGTGCTACCGCTCCGAATCAACTGCATGATCCATGAATCAAGGACTAAGAAGAGGAAGGACCGGTGCAGGCGATCATATACTTTCTGAAAGTCTAGCTTAAGGAAGACGCCTTTATGGTTGTTGGGGAATGCAGTATTTCAAAAAAATTCCTACGATCACGCAAGATCTATCTAGGAGATGCATATCAACGAGAGGGGAGAGTGTGTCTACGTACCCTCGTAGAATGAAAGCGGAAGCGTATAATAACGCGGTTGATGTAGTCGAACGTCTTCGTGATCCAACCAATCCAAGTACCGATTGTACGACACCTCCACGATCAGCACACATTCAGCTCGGTGACGTCCCTCGAACTCTTGATCTAGTTGAGGCCAAGGGAGAGTTCCGTCAGCACGACGGCGTGGCGACGGTGATGATGAAGTTTACCGGCGCAGGGCTTTGCCTAAGCACTACGACGATATGATCGAGGTGTGTAACTATGGAAGGGAGAACCACACACAACTAAGAGAAACTTTGGTGTGCCTTTGGGATGCCCCCTCCCACGTATATAAAGGGGGGAGGAGAGGTGGCCGGCCCTAGGAGGGGGCGCGCCATGGGGGGGTCCTACTTGGACTCCTAGTCCAAGTAGGATTCGGTCCCCCCCTTTCCTAGTCCAAGTAGGAGAAAAAGGGAAAGAGGAGAGAAGAGAAGGAAGGAAGGGGGCGCCCCCCCTCCCCTTGTCCAATTCGGACTGGGCAAGGGGGGGGGCACCACCTCTGGCCGGCCCTCTCTCTTCTCCACTAAGGCTCATTATGGCCCATTAACTTCCGGGGGGGGGGGGTTCCCGGGGGATATGATCCCTTCACTTAATCTCAAGATAAAAGTGTTCTCCCCGAGTATGCACCGTTGCTACAGTTCGTCGTTTCGAGACACCACGTGATGATCGAGTGTGATAGACTCTACGTTCACATACAACAGGTGTAAGACAGTTTTGCACATACAGAATACTTGAGTTAAACTTGACGAGCCTAGCATTTACACACATGGTCTCGGAACACTGGAGACCGAAAGGTCGAACATGAGTCATATAGTAGATATGATCAACATAGAGATGTTCACCATTGATGGCTACCTCATCTCACGTGATGATCAGACATGGGTTGGTTGATTTGGATCATTTATCACTTAAGTAACTTGAGGGATGTTAATTTAAGTGGGGGTTCATTAGTAATTTGATTAATTGAACTTAATTTATCATGAACTTATTCTTGATAGTTTTGCATATCTATGTTGTAGATCAATAGCTCGCGATATAGCTCCTATATATTTTTGATATGTTCCTAGAGAAAACTAAGTTGAGAGATGATAGTAGCAATGATGCGGACTGGGCCGTGATCTGAGGATTATCCTCATTTGCTACATAGAAGAATTATGTCCTTGATGCACCACTAGGTGACAAACCTGTTGCTGGAGCATATGCAGACATTATGAATGTTTTGCAAGCTCGATATGATGACTACTTGATAGTTTAGTGCGCCATGCTTTATGGCTTAGAACCGGGACTTCAAAAATGTTTTGAACACCACGGAGCATATGAGCTGTTCCAAGAGATGAAAATTGGTATTTCAGATTCATGCCCGTGTCAAGAGGTATGAGACCTCTGACAATTACTTTGCCTACAAGATGGAGGAGAATAGCTCAACCAGTGAGCATGTGCTCAGAATGTCTGGGTACTGCAATCGCTTGAATCAAGTGGGAGTTAATCTTCCAGATAATATAGTGATTGACAAAGTTCTCTAGTCACTATCGCCAAGCTACTAGAACTTCGTGATGAACTATAATATGCAAGGGATGGCGAAAATGATTCCCGAGCTCTTCGCGATGCTGAAATCGGCGAAGGTAGAAATCAAGAAGAAGCATCAAGTGTTGATGGTTAACAAGACCACTAGTTTCAAGAAAAAGGGCGAGGGAAAGAAAGGGAGCTTCAAGAAGAATGGCAAGCAAGTTGCCACTCTCGCGAAGAAGCCCAAAGTTGGACCTGTCGGCGTTCTGGGAACGGGGGGGGTCCCCAGACTTGCCTGCCTGCGGCCCATGGCATGGCTGAGCTAGCAGGCCTGTATGGCCCATCTTCATCGACAAGGCATTCAAGACCCTCGCGAGGGGCCAAGCCTCACGAGGCGGACGACGCAAGACCCCCTCGGGAGCGGCCTCGCCAGGCAGGCTCACGAGGGGCATAGAGATCAAGGCAAGGCAAACCTCGCGAGGTCCTCGTGACGTGAGCCATGACGATCGAGACCAGGCGGGTGCCAAGCGGGCGCCAGCGCGCGCAGCGTCCTTGTTTCCTCTTTGGTGCCAAGGGGGAAAGGCAGGCGCGAAGTACCGAGGCATCAGGCAAAGGTTTCCATATTGGTGCAATGAGACCAAGACCAGCAGGACGACAAGACGGAGGTCACCATGGAGCCCAGGACGGCGTCACCACCAGAACCTTTGGCAGGCGAAGACCACCTTTTGTCATGATAACTTGTACTGGCTGTCCCCTTTCAAATTGGCCGTTGTTGGCTCCCTTCCCGCTTAATATTTGGGGAGAGGACCAGGGCCTCTATAAATAGGACTAGCCACCACCATAGGCGGGGACGAATCATCAAGACCATCCTCAGCCACGCAAGTGTGTCAAGCACAAGAACACCTCAACCTCAGGAGGCTGTTCTTCCCTTTCAATTGTTCATCATCAGCCCAAGAGCCAATCCACCACCACCACACTGGAGTAGGGTATTACACCGCAACGGTGGCCCAAACCAGTATAAATCTTGTGTCTTTGTCTTGTGAGTTCGTCGAGTTCGTCCGCGAGATCTTAGGGAGCTAGGGCGTGGATCTATAGGGAGAAACCTTCGCGCGCACCCTAGTGTTCGAACCTCGAGGGTTTTGCCGGAACCTATGATCCGACATTCGGCGCGCCAGGTAGGGGTGCGTCGAAGCTTCCTTCCGTCGCTCCGCGCCCTGTTG